TTCGCTCGCGCGCGCGCGAATGCGCGAGACTCGACGCTCGAGGAACAAACGAGATAAACGTGCGCGGATGAAGGGAAAGAGGCTGGCGGGCAATTCTCTCTCGGAGAAAAGCCCGCGCAACGGTACGGCCGTCGTTGATGCACGACGCGAGTTTCACCGCCGAACTTCGTGGCGCGGCCGGGTCCCGGCACTAAAGCAATTTGTCGTCTTCTTTATTGTCGCATCGTACACACCGGGGCCCAACTTTGTCGACTAGGGATAAAATTATTTTCAGGACAAGCGAGCGGGCGACCGAGCCAAGCCGGAGTCGACCGTATCGCGAGGCGTATTCGCCCTCGTTTGGTTTTAGCCGGGCCGGCGACGCCGCGGCAATATGGCACCGACAAATAAAACCCAAGTTTATGCGCGAAAGCTCTTAGAGGAGGTATACCTCCGCCTCCGACGCGATATGCCCAGCGGATGTGGATGTACTGAAAATTCAATTCCCAATGCCCCTTTTCTCTAACGTCGCGTTGTCGTCGTCGCCGCCGCCGTCGCCGACTCGTTCCACCTTGCGCTGACGTTAAGCACCACTGCTCTTGTTCTGGCGAAACAAGAAAAGCAACGGAAATTAGCTGAAACTAAAGCGGAGCGTAATCTAATGGAGCACGAGCGGAGTAGCAAATTCAACGCGAATCATTACATCGTTTTATTTATCTTTTCATTTCGTCGGCGCATAAGTTACACGATCGCGACTTTTTTGCGTGACGACTTTCTTAAATCGTAATAGCATTTTAATTTTAATTGCAGGGACATCTCTTTGTCACATTAAGCTGGACGTTAACTCTATTTTTATTAAATTTTGGGACGTAGCACGAATTCTTCATCGTTAAAAATAATATCAGTTTGCTAAAAAACGCCACTTTAATTTTTCCACTTATCGCTCGCATAAGGGCGATCAGAAATTTTAATTAGATTCCTAAGCTCTCTTAAAGGATGTATATAATAATGAATAAAAATAAGATAAAGTTAAAAAAATGATTTATTAAAATGTAATTACGCCTCAAGATTTAATATAATTTGTATTATCGCAATAAGAATATTTCACGACATTTTAATTACGCTAGGATGAAAAAGTAGCATAATTATAATATTTTCGTAACTAAAGTTAATCGCTATGCGAAGTCGCTATTAATCTTGCGACTCCCGTCTAATTTGATGATAAGGCAAATTCGACGCACAATCTGCAATCTCGTTGTAATCAACTCATTTGCCAAACACGTCACGACGTCACTCATTTGTGATCTTTGGTGGCTTTAGATCCCGTAGGAGGTGGCGGTGTGCTGGCTTTACCACGGGAACCGGATGCTTCTGCGCCCGGCGAGATGGGCAGGCCCGTGATACTGCCGACCAACATGTCCGCACAGACCAAGAAGCTGGTGGACGACGGCTGGCTCAATAACGCGTTTAATCAGTATGCCAGCGATCTCATCTCTGTGCACCGGTCCTTGCCCGATCCACGCGATCAGTGGTAAGTAATATTCACATCATCTCAACGTGCAGCGGATCGTTAAGGTCAAACTAGTTCGGCCTCTATTCGATATTATTGATTTTTCTTTTTTTTTCTATAAAAATATAAGTAACTTTATTAGCGATGCTTTATGACGGCAATAAAGCTTTTGTCACAAATTGCCCTATAAAAGACACATCTTTCATAGGATGAAAAATATTTTCTGCAGGAACGCGCGGTTTATTGCATTTTGAAACATGATCTCCCTTCATCAGTATGATATTTGTCATCTGAGAAATATACACAAAGTGAATGTGAAAAAGAACGCGCGTTTAAACGTAACTAAATGTCCCCCGGGGGTGGGGGGGTGAAGAGGCGGGGAAGCGTTATATCCGGTATAAAAAGGATATAACGTGCGCGCGCGCTCGTCTCCCTGGAGGGCAACGAGAGTAACAACCAGCGGCGCTTCGCCGATCGAAGTGGATGGGCCGCGGTAATGCGTTAGAGAATCGTGATCGTAAATGTCTCCTGCCATTTCCTTTTATTGCGAACAGTCGCATCATAACGCGGTCGTTGATAAAACATGCGGGTCAAAGGTCACGCGACGTCGTGAACCTAAAAGCTACTACTCTTCATCCGATTTCCCCCCCCCTCATTCGTCTTTTTTGCGAGAAAGAGGATCGCGTTGAAATTTGATGCGCACATAGAAATGAATCATGAGAAACATTGGTACGTTATGAATGATTTTGGGTCAAGAGGCTTCGCGAGTGCATACGCGTCGACGAGAAGAATTCGGACGGAGTATCGCGAGCGCAAGATGCACTCGAGAAGAGCAGCAGCTGTGCGTGGTATCGTAAAATTAATTTTCTAATGGCGAAACTTGTTACTTGCGTTCGCGCAACTTGACTTCTTCTATAAATAGGATGACCAGATGTTCTTCTTTCTCAAGGATAGTTATCGTCGACAAATATGTTTTCCCTAGAAATTCTATTTCACTCTTGTTAGTTAGAAATATATTCTTTTTTCTTACTTTATGACTAAAATATAATATTTATTTTCGTTGGTTTAATATGTCGTACATTCATTTATTTTATTTACAGACGAACAAAAGTGTTTGCATTCAATTAAAATTGGTCTTGCGTTTATTTTCACTGGCTGCAGGCGGTATTGTGAACGGTATCCATTAATAAAGTTTCTGTTAAATGTCGATATCACATGTACACGATCGGAAATTACTTTTCTTTATTCTTGCGTTCCGTTGTAACAAAGTGCAGTCCGTTCAAGCGTAATGCGCACGCGATCGCTGAGGATATTAAAATCGGCTTTTGCGGGAAACATTTCATACGAAGTGCGGAGGACGCCCTCGCCTTGAGTAAAATATGCAACGGCGTTACGAGGAGCGTTCTTCTAGTAATATTATAACGCAATGCCTCATGTAATTTGCATCGCGCCATTATTTTAATTACGGCACCAAGTTAAACGCGCAGCTATTATATATAAACATTTCCCTTGAACGAAGAAGAACAACCCCGCTAATGTATGTGTACGTATACGTGCACGCTATATGTGCGCCCGAGTTATGCTAATGACTCGCTATTCCGAATTCTTGTTAACGTTGCAAATTATTTTCCGTCTACGTCGCAAATGCAATTTCACGGAGAGCGTCCGCGCCCGCTCTCCTGCGCGAAGTACTACGGGTACGTGTTACGCGTTGTTTAATTAATTGCACTGTGCCTAATTTGTTGCGCGAGTTGACCGTAATAGTCTACGGCGAAAAGAGTACGGCGGGCGACGTAGTTCGGAAATTTAATCATCGGAAAATGCGTCCCCGGAAATTAATACGTAGCCTCCGCTGTTCTTACGTCATGCGGGAATACTGAGGTTTCCCGCACAGGGACGTTTAAATTATTTTACTGAATATTGTGTGATTTTTTTCATCCCACATATTCGATTTTTTTTTTCGCAGATGGACATAACACTTGTGTAGATTTTAAATTACTTCTATCGAAATTTAATAAGAAAGCAATACTCAAATCGTATATCGACAGATATTCAGATATGCGAACCTGTTTGCGCGACGTATCATTTTTTAATATTTCTTATCCCGGAGTTATATTATTCGCTGTGAAGTCTTAATTATGCAAATGACGCCAAACGATTGATCGAGAATTCCGTTTTATCGTAGATCGACGTGATTTATTTGACCGAGATTGCGCAGATTGTCTGTGTACAATGCCTGCGGTACGTCCGAAATATGTTTCCCGGTGACCGTAAATTTTCGCTAAAACTTCGTCCCGGAGGCGACGGCGGCGTCGGGCCGACCGCGGCAGCGAATTAACCCCATGAATATTAATTACAATTTACATGATATTAACCGACATTATCAGGACAGGTGGGCAAACTTCGTGGGTGCCTGTTGTTACTGACACTCCGCGGAGTCGCGTCCGTAACTAACGGCTGGGATAAAGGCACCGTCACACCGGCACCGGCGCACAGGTGTGCTGTATGGTGCGCGTTTGCAAACAGGTGCCCCTAATTTAGAGACGCGAGGACCATTCGGAGAGAGTCGGTGATCATTAATATCACACGAAGCGGAGTATGGGAGTTTCTTGTAATAAAAAATAATTAGAGCGCATTATGTTTTCATCGAGCATCCTGTCGTACCAATTTGTCGTGTAATAACTCTGAATACATTCCGTATTTCCCGTATACGAAAGCGTATCACCATGTTATTAAATTGAATGAAATACAATCGATCCGAATAGATAGATTTTACACAACGGATAAATTGGTGAAAAGAAGGAGGCGATAAAATAAACGTTTTATCTAATTAACAGACAATAAAGAGAGAATAATAATCCGATGCACTGATAACGTACGTCCATTCGTCCAATATACGTGTCTCTGATTTTAACACAGCTTTCTTTGTGCAATTTTCTTGTAAAATATTTCTCTTTCAGCGAGTGCGACGCGAATGATCGCCACGGGCTTTTTCGTGAAACAGAATATAAATATTGCTTTTATCGTGTGCGCGCGTTACGTTTAAATATATGTCGTAATTGGAAAGTACATTCTTGACGGCTTAAACGAATTAATTGTGAGCTTTTGTTGAATTAGCGGTCGTAGAGTCGAAATAATTAGCGATTACGATCGCGTTACTTAACAAAGGTGCAACGCGTCGGCAGTTATTAATTAATAATTTAAACACCCGAGGGTGAGTATAATTACCGCGGTGGACCAATCATTTAAAGTGGTCGTTATCTCCGTTACGGTATATTGTTTTTTGAATATTCAATTAAGCGACCTTCAGTAACTCTCTCGATATGGCTCATCGTACGGGGAACTATCTCCCGTAACGAATCGTTTAATTAATTTTACAGCCGATATAACAGTACCATTGTACAAAAAAAAAATACCAATCTCACTGGCAACTAGGATTATCGAGATTATATGGAAAGTTGATGAACCAATTTTCAGTATCTATGCATCACTATTCCACCGATTTGTAATATAGAATATAGAAAAAACGGAAAAGAATTTAAATTATTTACTTATTTGTAAAATCTGAAGTTGACGATTTTGCCTTTTGTTTTGTGTTATGTTGCCTTGCGATTTTGTATTAAATTCTCCAATATCACACTCTTATTTCGATAATATTATGTCACATTTCGATGAAAGAAGTATTAAAAGGAAGAGAAATTTCTCGATATTAAATGAAGAAATTGTTGGACGACATCGTTCAACAAGTCAGAGATTGATTCTCATAAATTGTGAAGATAAACAGAGTCAGTTCAGTTGATGTTGCGCCGCGAAGAGTGGAAAGATCGGATCTGCCCGCCGTGGCGATAAGGGATATGAAATGAGATAAAAGGTCGCTTTTCTCGCGGTTTCCCCGATCTGGCGACTCCGCCCAGGCAGAGCTCCGCGGAAATGGAAATTTAAATATGCAAATGGCGAAACGGTCCGGTTTAATAAGCTGCTCCTTCAGCGACTGTGAAATTCGCTTGTGAGGTTTCGCTTAATTATCACGTTACCAAACAGCGCACAGGCTATTCTTATGTTTGCGGTATTTGATTTTCCAAAAGTTATTATGTGCAAATATAATAATTTAACGGAGAATTGTGCTTCTTCGAAATTGCATATTACGCTTATTATTTTCGATTTATATATAATTTAATAATCGAACGAGCTTACCGTGAAGTTCGATTGTAATTATGCTGTCTCGTCCGGATGGATATAATTGTAGTAGCGTTCCGCTGCGCTATCCTCAACAGGTTTTGAAGACAAATTCAAAAAGGGCGCCACCTGCCTGCACTCAGGCTGCGCCCCGTTGTCTTGACGATCATCATTAGTTCAAAGTCAACAAATCTGGAGAAAATGGGATAGAACAAAAAGAAAAAAGGGGGGGAGGGATTCTCCATCCGGACGAGACAGCATAATTACAATCGAACTTCACGGTAAGCTCGTTCGATTATTAAATTATGCAAGGTCTCGTCCGGATGGATATAATTGTAGATATTCAAAGCACAGATTTGTTGTAGATTCCGTACGATGCAAATAAAACATTGTTTATTTGGATTAAACTGACCATATATAAGTAAGAATAAATGCAAAGGTTGCGTACAAGTATAGATGTTTCACAAATAAAAAATGCATATGCCGTAAATTTAAAAGACCTTAAGTACTACTCAAGACTGTGTCCTGAAACGAAGCGCCCTTAAGAAGCGGGCGATTATAAAAGCGAGCAAAGATGTCCGAGGAACTGCTCCAGCCAGCCGTACGCCTGATCTCGTCCACACTAACACCTCTACTAGCGGCGAGGGAAGTTGAAGCGTGACGAGTAGAGTGTGCGGAAAAGATACTAGTATCAATTCCGGCTGAGCCTAGCAACTCCTTAACCCAGCGAGCTAATGTCTGAGCTGTCACAGGCCTATGCGGGGTCCGAAGAGAAATGAAAGAGCTGTACTAGCTTTCACTGCGCAAGGCGGATGTGAATTGCAGATAAAACTTCAACAGAGAAA